GGCCTCACCCAGGACGGCCACTTCCACTGACTGGTTCACCAGGGGTGCGAAGGCTCAGCGCTCCCACCACAACTTGGGACAGCTCTGAGGGGCCATCACACCAGCCTCAGAGCACCGCCCAACCTCTCCCTCTGCCCAGGGCAGTTGGAGCCTTCGCTGAACACAAGGGGAAGAAATCCAACAGGACTTCCAACAAGGCTGGGGACTCACCAGGGCCAGCCTGACAGACCTATTGTGAGGACTTGATGGATTAGTATGTATGAAATGGCAAACAGTGCCCAGTAAGTTGTGAATCTTACATAAGTTTTAAGCTGTTATTATTATCACTATAATTACAGTATTACACATTATTATTCATGGTCTTGGAGTCACCAATCCTGCTGTACAAGCCCTGAAAAAAGAATTATGGCCTAAGAGCCATTTGTGTGATTTCTCAGGAGTCCACAAGTTCACTCTGAGTGTGCAGAATAAGAAGCTTCTGGAAAAAGCAGAACTTGATCTGAAAGTTCATTAAGGACAGTGTAGTTTCACAACAAAAGAAATAGCAATGCTTCTTCTGTGCTGGTCAGATGGCACCAGCCATGCTGAGTGTAGCTGGGAGTACAGTAAAGGGGAGGAATTTGAGACGAATAACTAGGAGAGCCTGGAGCAGGTGTCTTTAGTTCTTAAAACAGATAGTCTTGCTTTCCTCTCCACCCTCTAACTCACCCTGTCATCTGTCTCTCTCTCCTTCTCTTCTAAGAGGGCCTCTGGTTGGCTTTAAGGCCCACCCTCATCAGGGAAGGAGATCCTTAGCATAATTGTGTTTCAGAGAACCTTCTCCCAAATAAAATCACATTCACAGGTTCCAGGTGGACTGAACTTTTGGCAGACGCCCTTCAGCCCCCTGCAGTTAGTAGACATTGATTCAGGTACAGACTGACTTCTGTTAGCTGTTCGTGTAAAGTAATGGGAGATTCAAAGGGCACATGGAAACAGGAGGAAGCAAGCAGACGTGTGGGGGAGGCCTAGGTGGGTTTGGCTGACTGATCACGAAGGAGGGAGGCGCACAGGAGGAGAGGGAATCCACCGACGGCCAGAAGGTGCTGGACCTGAAGTTCTGGGAGGATGGTAAAGAGAGAGGCCGGATCGTGCAGGGTGATGCGCCCTGCACGTTTGTGGCAGAATGTGACATGATTGCAAGAACAATTAACTGGCTCACCCATGACCCTTTTGCCTCAGTTTCCCACAAGCCTTTAACACCTCCCACTTCCCCGGGATGTGCCGAGTTCTCCGTGGGATAAATTAGCCCATGTTGCTTCACTGGCAAGCGCTTGACCAGGGTCAGTGACAAGTCATAGAACAGCAATTGAAGAAAGTTGGTTTGATTTATTTTACTGCATGGATGGGACAGGCAGAGTGGCCCACAAGAAGGGCATCTGGTCCCAAAAAATCGAGGCCTTATAAAGGTGATCCGTACCTATTTGCACTACTGTGGGAAACAGGACTGTCATCCCCAGGATCACAGATGCCAACGGCCAACTTGGGAACATTGCACGTCTCCTCCCAAAGTCGGACCTCAATGTAATGCAAAGCAAACAAGTTTGACCTATTATAATTAACATTCTTTAATAATATTTTCTGCCATAGACTGAGACTTTTTAATTCTTTCAGCATTGTACATTTTTTTAAAAAAGTATCTCTACAAGTTGGAAACCCAAGGAAAGATTTAAAGTAGAGAGACCTGGTGAGGAGGAAAACTGGGGGGCTGGACATTTTGGTTTTCCTTGTAATTAGCAAACAGAACTCACAGCTAAATAACTGGGGAGAGAGTAGGAAGCAAGGAGAGAGCCTCTTCAATTTCTAATCCTTCTAATATTCGCTCCTCTTTTTATATATTTTAAAAACAAATGGACTTGAACTCCTTACTGTCCAAGTAGATGGCCATTTACTTGCCAGCCTTGTTACTGTTTTCCTTAATAATCCATCGTGGGAAGAACAGCCCCTCCCCCATCCCCCCTCGCCTCCACATTCTCTCTTCCCGTCCTTCCTCAGTTGCTTTTGGGTTGGGGGACAGCCTGGCTCTGAGCTTCTGGCAGTCCCGTGTTCTGGCTGCCCATGCAGTGCACTTGATAGGCACCCGGCCGGGGCTGGGAGACCTGGCTCGGGCGCTGGCCCGGCTGTTCGCCAGCCTGGTCACTCTAACCGGATCGCCTCGGCCTTCAGCCTGTTTCCTCCCCTGTAGCCTGGAGCTGAGAACGATGCCTGCCCATTTACTACCGGGGATACTGTAAACATGACACAGAAAGAGGGCCTGAGTCCAACGCTTCTTAAAGTCAAAAGGCCAAAGCAGATTCTCTGGAAGAGTCAGAGGCAGCTGGAGGGTGTGGGGCTCTTAAGCAACCTGGAATGAGGCTGAAGAAATTCCCAGAATCCTTCCCATTCTCTTAAAACTGGACTGGTTAAAGCCATTTATACATGGGCTATTGGGGCACAGAATTGCTCCCCTATCCCAGAGGAATGAGCAAACTGAGACCTCCTTCTCAGGGCAGGGACAGGTCAGAATCGCCCTCACGTCAGAGCAACCCAAAGGGCTCTACTCAGTTAAATGCATGGTTCATTACTGTGTGTAAGTGGGCAGGCCACTTATCTATTTATTATCAATGAACCTGTTTGTATCTCACAAACATTCCTGAGGTCACACCTGGGGTCACTTAGCCAGTGCGCTGGAAGAGAAATGATCCCAGGAGATGCCCCTGTTCCTGAGAGGCCCCCACTCTAGGAGAACACGATTCATGAACAGCATATGCATGGTGGTGTGGTAAAATAAGGCTGTTTATTCCCTTCTTCATGGTCTGTGTCTCCAATGACAATAGGGATTCATGAGGCAAGCTTCCTCTGTCTTCTTTAACCACTGTATCCCATTGCCCACCATCCAGCCTGGTACGCAATAGATCTGATATCTATTTGTTGAGTTAATGAATGAATGGATTCATGAACAAATGCATCAGGGGTAAAGCAGAGACATACCAAGAGTCTTACGGGGACTCAAAGAGGAAGCAGCACAGAAGAATTCACGGGGAGCAAATATTTAAACCAGATCTTAAAGAATGGAAAGTATTTTGCCAGAGCCAGAGGTCTGATAAGCTAATCATAGTCATAGAATAAGCTGATCGATGACCTGGGAACACATAAATATATGCCCCGGAGAGGGCACAGTGTGGGGCTGGGCAGAGGGAGAGGGTGGCGGGAAACGAGGAGCAGCGACAGACATGGCATTCACAGCCACGGGGCAGGAATCCAGGCTGTCATGGCAAATAGTTGGGATTTCGTCTGGCAGAAATGGAGAAATGGTGACGGCTTGCAAGCACGTAGGAGATTGAGAACATTTTACTAACTAGAAAGTTCTTTTTTGCTGCAGTTGGGTGGATTGGAGCTCAGAAGTCCAGAAAAGCAGTTAAGGGCTGAAGCTTGCCAGCCTGAAGAGAAAAGGAGCAGAAATACGACTGGGCATAACTTCTGGGAGTGAAGGGAAAGGGGCAGAATGAGACGTTCGGGGGCTGGATTGTTAGGATCTGGTCACAGATTCACCAATGACAGTGATAAGGGTGAGAAGAGATGAGACTAATGGGCACAGCCTGGGCTGCTGGTTTGGAAACTAAGTGAACAGTGGAGCTGCTTGCTAGGAAAAAGGCCTGGGTCTGCAGCAGAAGAATAATTAAAAAGGTCCAGAAAATAGATGTCCATGTCTAGAACTTAGAAGTCAGAGTACGGATATAGATTTATGAATCAACTTTTACCTGAATAAACAAAGAACAAGGAACATATGAAATAATACAATAATTAAGTCACCTTAAAATCATAAAATAATGAGAACTAATGAAATAATGAAGTAACCCTGACGATCTCTGCCCTCACGGAGATGGTAGCTTAGCTGGCTCGTCACACGTGAACGGATGCTACAGGTTAAAATGAAAGGAAAAGTACAGCTCAGAGACGTGTTGGACGAAGCCAGTCCCAGGGGTGGGGGAAGGCTCCTCTGAGGAAGGGACTCTCAAGCTGAGCTCAGAAGCATGAGCTGGAGTGATGGAGAAGGAGGACAGTGGGTACTGGGGACGGGGACCCGTTCCTGGAGGAGCCCTGGGGGAGGGCGTGGAGAAAATCCACAGACCAAGAAGAAGTAAGTTCACCTCGAGTGCAGAGAACCAGGGGAACAATGAGGTCAGACCAGCTAACAAGGCAGCTGCCGGGGACCCGGGCAGAGCACCCGTGAATGTCTGATAAAGGTCCCAAAGTGCCTGCAGGAGAAAAGGGAGCACGTCAAACTTGGCTAGTTAAATGAACTAGGGATGCATAAGAGTGATGGTTCATGCCAGCAAATGCCTTACTGAATTTGAACAAATTAACTCAATTGAAAATAATTTAACCTCTTCATTGAAAATCCCATGCAAAGTCTCAAAATTATATAAGAGTTTAATAAATATCATTTGAATCCAAGCTGAGATTGCCAAATAATCAGCCTTCCTATGCCTGATGGTATCTGCTAGCTTGAGGTCAAATTCAAGTAACATCGGAAGCATCTAGAACTTCCTTGGCCCATGCACACTGTCCTTGTTGGACAGCCTCCTGTCAGTCAGGTGGCAAAGGTATGAAGCCCTTCAGGTCACAAGAGCGACACCAGGGAGACCCGTAGCGCTTGAGGAGGACCCCACAGTGCCCCTGCTGATGTGGGAAATGCCCTAACGCTCAGCCCAACCAGGGTGCTTCTTGCACCCCATGCTACCGCCCCTTGTAAAACAAAGCCCTTTTATTTAAAAAAAAAATGCTTAAAGTAACTGAATTAATTTAAATACAGATTTTTTTTAAACCCCAATGGAAATGCAAAGAGAGATTTGGAATTACGTGTGAGATGTTAACTACTTAAATCTGGATGGCTGTTTCTATGAATGAATGCACTTAATTAATTTTTTTCCCCTAGCTTCTTGCTATTTCCTAACTATAACTATTTTCTTTCATCCCAGGGGCAATAGAAGGACGACAAAAGATGGATCCAGTGATTTGAAATTCCAGAACTTTACTCTGCCGAAAAATAGGTCAGAATATTTACTTGTTTATTAATAGAGGAGTGAAAATTTTGATTCTGTGGCAAATAAGCTGACCATCACACATACACACACACACACCCCCAAATACACACGCACATACAAGGTTAATGTGGTAGAATTATATTGCTCTCAGGGACCTTCGAGTTTACACGAGAAGCCCTTAGGTGTTCACAGCATTTCAGACCAAGGTGGTTTCTCCCACCCTCCCAGGTCTCTAAATAGCCCAAGACACAGCCAATGAGAAGGAAGCTTCCAGGCTTCTGCTGGCCACTGGTGAGTGATGTAAATGGTGCCTTATGGATGGATCAGGTCATGAGTTCATCACCAGGCCTTACAGCAAGGAGACTAGAAGAGCCACATGCCTATATGGTTTCTTTCCTTCGCCCTTCAATTGAACAAAACGTTTACTGAGCAGTTGTGGCAGTAAGACTTGCATAGGCTACTGAAAAGCAAAGATGAAAGACAACATCTTATCTTCAAGGGCTCACAGCCAAGGGCTAAAAGTCAGAATGGTGGCTGACTTGATGCAAAGGTGGCAAGACCCCAATGGTGAAGTCAAATCCAGCTCTGCCCCTGACTAGCAGTCAGATTCTGGGCAATACCCGAATGGCTCAGAGGGGTTGGGGGTTCCCGTGAGCCCAGCCAGAACTCCCCACTGGAGGAATCTCCATGTCCAGGGGCATCAGAGGGTCTCTGTGTGTTACACCAATCCTTGAATCCCAATGTACTTCAACTCTAGTCAATCACCAAACATTTATTCAGATCCTACTATGTGCCAGGTACAAACAGCGTTCTTGGGCTCCTAAGATTTGCTTGAAGAAATATTTCCCCTCAGCAGAGTGAATGAATGCCTGTAAAACAGAATACTTGAAATATTTTCAAGACCACATTAAGCAAAGGGAAGGTTGTGGCTGTTCTCAGACTTCCTCAATGTTTACATTAAATATATTTGAATAATGCATTTTAAGTCAGTTTTTCTTATTTCTTGACAATAGCAAGAAATGGGAGATGGAAGAATAAGAAGCCTTCCATCAAATGGAGATGGCTGCAGCAATCACATACATCAAAGTAATATTTACAGTTACATTTGAAAAAAAAAAAAGAGAGAGCAGTGCTTTCTTCCAAAGCAAATTATTTCAGGATGTGTCACAGCATGCTCAAGATATATTAAAAAAGAGCAACAGACGATGTTTCTGCAACCTGTTCCAAACCATTTATAAACCCAAATTTTAAAAAAAAAATCCCATGTACATACAAATCTCTGTACCACTGCATATTTTATGATGAAAGTATTATGTGAATATAAATTAGTATTTGAGATACATAAATCAAATTCAAATGTCTAAAAACTACATATTTGGGTCTCCTATCTTACTTCAGTAACTATTAAACCAGTGTATTCATTCTCCATGCAAATTATAATTATCAGTGTTTGATGATACTGGAGGCAGGGAGGGCACTACAGAGGGGCCGCGCCGGAGGCCAGAACGAGCCCTTTGGGTCTGGATTTAAATCCCCGCTGACCTGTTTACCAGCTGAGCAGCCTCCCTCTGATGAGCCCATTTCCATTTCAGCGCCTCATGTATTTTGGAAATGGCATTGGAAAATACTGAGTAGGCTGTCCTGTCCACCCTGGTCCCCTGTACCTAAAGCAGTCCTGTGTCTGGGGGATAAATGGGTGACCACTGCAGCGGGCCTGGAACATGGCAGTTTCTTAATAAACAGCAAAGCCCACAGTCACTGAGCGCTCACCATGTGCTAGGCACTGTCTGAGGAGTTAGTAGGTAGTATCTCACTGGATCCTGACAATCACACTCTTAGTTTCCCTTTCCTAGGAGAGAAGAACACGGGTAGAAAGAATACATAATTTCCCCAAGGCTGAAGAGCTGGTTATGGCATGGACATTCACATACGAGAGACATTCACATACTGTCGCAAGCATCTGTAAAATCTGACACTCCGCACCGCTGCCCTCCCTACGGCCATCCCTGAGTGTGGCGGTGGGGTCAGCTCTCCTGACAGGCACAGCCCCCCGCGCCCCAAACTCAGCCATGCCTGTCCCCTGCTGGTAATGTACAAAGTAGAACATGAGGCTGAGTACTCCCCAACCCCCAGATGATGGCACCCAGGAGACTGTCCGAGACAAAGCCAGAATCACATCCATATCCACAACCCGTCTGCATTGATCTGAATGTTGTCCAGAACTTTCCATGGAATTCATCTGGCCAAATCCCCAGTTCCCAATTCTATTCTGCAGCATTTCCCCATATGTGTAGAAACAGATTCACACTGATGGACTTTTTTTCCAATCAAGTTCAAACTCAAATCAATAGTTAAATGCCTAAAATGCACCAGACACCACGGAAGCCACATTTAATTCAAATCCCCGCCGCCGAGTATGTACAGGCGAGGAGAGCCTGAGAGGTTACATGTTCTGGTCCCATTCCCAGAGCTGGTAACTGGTAGCAGCTGGGTTTAGATTCAGAGGCTAACCTCAAATCGAGTGCCATTGCTGGGCTCTGCGTTATCACAGGCTCCCTCTATGTCAGTATGTTCATGGGGATTTCGTTTCCTATTCCCGTGAGCCTCCAGTCTGTTTGGGTAGAAACTCTCCATGAGGAGGAAGGGCGTGTGGTCACACTCCTGAGAAGAACATTCAGGCGCACGGCCACAAAGCCGCTAGCGGCAGTTCTCACCCTGGGCCAGCAGCGTGGCATCACCTGGGAACTGCTTAGAAACGCAGATCTCAGGTCCCGCCCTCCTCAGCCGGATACTCAGGACTGGGACCCAGGCACCTGTGTTTAAACAAGTCCTCCTGGTGATTCTGGGGCCCATCCAGTCTGAGAACCTCAGCTTTGAGCATCCTTACCGAGAGTGCACGTTCTGGCAATGGGCCTAGCACCGGCTCTGCCCTGCCCACAGCGTCCGAGCACATGGGGTGGAGGAAAGAAGACACAAGACACTGACCCAGTGTGAGAGAGTAGAGGGAGGTGGGAGAGAATGTTCTCCCCACCTGGGAAAGGTCGCTTCATCAAAGAGGAAGAAAATGCAGCCCCTGCCATCAAGAGTTCAGTCTGGGGTGGGGGGAAACACAGACAGACATCTGTAACCGTCGTAAGACACTGTGCCAGGGACAGTGACAGTAACAGAAGCAGGCACCCTGGGCCCATGCGGAGACGAAGGCTCAGGAGGCTGACAGCTTGCCCACGTCCACAGTCTAACCAGTGGCAGCACCAGGTCCTGAGCCACTCACTCCAAGCGAAGGCCTCTCCTTTCCCATCCTGAGCAGTTGTGTTACTGACAGTGTTGCTCACCCTCTCCACCTTCCGACCCTTCCCAGGCATCACCGTATGGACTCTCAGCTTTCCCTTCTGCCGCTAGCACCTGCGGCAATAGTCAGCTCCAGCGGACGGGGTGCAGGTGGCTGTGATTTCCCAGGGCCCATGAGAGCCCGTCCTCACCCCTCGGGAGCTGACAGCCTCTTCCATTCCGTGTGCTAGGAGGCCCCCTGCCTGGCCTCCCCGCCTGGCATGCCCGGGACACAAGACAGGGCAGGAAGCTGCTGCTGCTGGTCGGCTCTGACCTCTCTAGTTTTGCCCCACCTGTTGTCCAGCTGCCCTGACCCATGAGAGCCCTTCTGCTCCCCCTGGCCCGCCTCACGGTGCAGAAGCGGACTGTCTCTGAAAGATCTGGCAAGCTGAGAGCTCTGCAGAGGATCCAGAGTGCTGTGGAGGATGCATGGAATAGAGCATGCGGTCCCATCGGCTTTCCTGCGGTGGTCCACGAGGAGCTCCTGCTTAGTAAATAAATGCTCAGTAAACACTGCTGAAGCGCGGGGAGAAGAGAGAATGAAGTCAGGACCCACTAGGTTGCGGTTGGCTTGTGCTATTCCCAGTACCCAGCACCCATGCTTAAATAGCTGATAAAAGGAACTTTTAGCGAAGGAGAAGGATGGAGGAAAGAAGAGAGAGGAGACAGAACAAGGGGATTGTGGGCTCAGGAGCTGCTCTGCCCACTGGAGCAACGTCAGGGCTGAAGCAGACGCGACAGATCTTGCTACACTGCTACGCCCACCGCCTGCGGGGGTCCCCCCAAAATGCTAGACGGTTTTGTTCTCATCTTTCAGTATTTGTCAGGAACGGGGATAGCTTATATGAAAGGGATTATAGCTTTCAAGACATGCTTTCTGTCCTGAAAGAACTTGAAATCTAGTCAAGAAAAGGAAAAAAGAAAAACTTCATAAGTAAGGTTTAACAAGATGAGATTTAAATAAGAACTTGATAATTCTACACTGCCTTTCAACTATTCTAAGTGTGTTATTACAGCAAGAAGTGACTTAGGAGCTCAGGAAGGGAAAGCTCAGGGGCCCTGGAGGGCAGAACCTGAGGAGGTGAGGGGGGCCAGGCTGCTTCCTATCAAGAGGGTCTTGAGACACGAGAGCATTTTACAGCTCAGGATGGGACCAAACTTTTCCGTGTTTTCCCCAGGCTCCCTCCAGGGACTCGCACGCCCCCAAATGTTTTTTTGTTAAAATAAAATAGAAAAGAGGGCCTAAAATAAAGAGGATTCTTCAAACCAGTCAAGGATTCCTTTAACAAAGAATGAACCCATTTATTCACTTATTAAATATGAGCCTTGACCTGATCCCACTTCGGTGTGGGTTTCACCTGCTTCAAAGTAACATGGGGTCCGGAGATGGTTTCCAGTGTCATCTTGGATCCCTAACAAATCCTACCGCTGCTCTGTGAGGATTCACACTGACGTGTACGTACTCGCGGAGCAGTTCCTGCTGCGTACCGGACACTCTGCCAGGCCTCACTGGGATGCAGCAGGTCCGTGCATAGACCCAGGCTGGGTCTGCAAGGCGTCTCTAAGCCGCCTCACTTCCGTGCTCTTATCTATGCTCCCCCTGCATGAGAGCGTGGTGTCCGTTCCCTCCTTCATGCTCATTCGACATCGTTCCATCTCCAGGCCTCCAGGAAGCCACAGGCCCTCTGGCTTACCTACAGGCTCCGGACTGTCTGAGGGCACTACACCGGCTTTCCTAAACCCTTGCTTCCACAGCTCCCTGAGGGTGGTGGTGTGGAAGGAGAGGGCCCTGCCATCAGAGGGGCTGGGTGGGAAACAGGGCACCACTAGCTCCTCCATGGGGCTTCCCTGGGCCTCAGTCAGTCCATCTGCAAAGGGAAAGGCCTAGTTCATGGTTCACTCAACGCTGACAGTCCATAGCAGCCCCCAAGTTGAGACAAAGATACTGTCCAGCAAGAATTGGCTGGGAAGTTGGGCGAAATGATTTACGTAAAGTGCACAATTACCAACACCATGCAGACATTCAAACAGAGGGAAAGGGGGAATGAATTTAGAAACTTCAGATGCATCTGCATTTCTCTCTAGATTATATTAAAAATGAGTTCAGGAACTCATAAAAATATCAATTGTCTTCCAAAAATTAGAGAACTTTAGTTTAATTTAAAAGTAGTCTTTTAATTTCAGGGGCAGAACTTAAAGTGAGATGTGGAGCTGAGCCACTTAAATCTTGGAGTCTGGGAGGAGATGGCTGGAGGGAGAAGGCCCCCTGACCATCTCCCAAGGGTCCTGCTGCTGGGTTCTGGACCAGCAGTGGGTGCCTGGGGAGACCCGAAGGGGAGCACACGCACCACACTCCAGGGGCGATGAGGAACTGGTCTCCACGCCAGGAGCTTGACCCTGGAGACAGGATCAAGTCCCGTCTCTATGGGGCTGGAATAACATACCATCCAAACTTTGTTCCCATGGATAAGTAGAACGCAAGTGCGCCCTGACTACGTGTCAGATCCAGCTCTCCCAGGCAGTGAGAGGGAGGGGGAGTTTAATTTACTAGCCTTTAAAAATTAAAACTTACTAAGCATATTAAATTGTTATAATGTATTAAAAATTAAAAACAATTCACAAATTAAAAATCTTTATTTGTAATGAGCCTTAAATATTGAAAACCGCAAACCTCTGGAGGTCAGCCCTGTTCATTTCCTATTCCATGATCTCCCCGCCACGACGTAGACACCTGCCTACACAGGCCAGAAATACAGAGGACAACTTGCTGCCCTCAGGCCCAGATTCAGAAGGGAGCAGAATGGGAGGGGGGACTGGGAAGAGAGGAGGGGTGGCTGCCAACCTGTAACACCATCCAGCTGCGGCCCATTCACGTGTGGCCATGTTATTGGTGCTGCTGCCGAAAGGAAGCCAAGCACCATGCCTGTCATTCCCTGGCAAGAGGCGGCTTGCCAACGCACGGGCCTTGCTTGAGCACAGAGAAGACACATCTGATCTCAGTGCAGTGTGCTAGCAGCATCTTTCATTAATCACCCTGGACTGACAGGTTGCAAAGAGTGTTAACACAGGCGGTTTTTCAGATAGACTGTCAGCTGCTCATGTCAAGGAACGCCCACACCTCAGCCAGACATCACAGTGAAGTCCGGGACATGTCCCTAGGCCCCTCCTTCCCAGGCCCACTGCGTCAGCAGGATCCAAGCCTGCCTCACCGCCCCCCCCACTTTGCAGGCTCAGCTGGAATAACAACACCATTCCTGCTTTGCTGAGGCTTCCTCTGCTAATTCGTTGGGCTTGCATTGACGCACAGAGAGCCCTGGGGTGCACAGTCCCAGAGGATATGACATATGAATGAGCACCATCACTTGGGGACCCCACTGAGAGGCAGAGTGGATTAGATAAGCCACTTTCGGCAGCCCTGGCAATTGGGAGGAAGCTCCCAGACACAGGGAGCTCGGAGGTCTAAGTTGCTGCTCTAGGCTTGTAAATAATAAGGGATTTAAAGTCAGACAAACCCCAGTTCCACCAACAGCTTGCTGTGCCACTGTAGGCAAGTCACTTGACTCTTCAAGCTTTAGCTACATCTGGAAAGTGGGAAAGCCCACCGGCCATACCGGACAGGCATTTTTCCCTTACGCTCCAGTGTTTCTGGTGTCGAAAGACCTCAGTTCTGCCTCCAAGAGTCTGAAACTTGGAACAAGTTGGACAACATTATCTCCTAAGTACTTTTTGATGTTAACGGTTTTTAAGTCTAATAGCCAGGTGAGGCAGAGGCCAGAAGAGGGATGGAATCCTAACTTAAAAGCTAAAGTTCTTTCTAGGACCCCAGAAAGAGTAGGCCTCCTCTTCAAAATCCCCGGGCTCAGGCCCGCAGGCTGCCTGCTCAGGCTGTGCTCGCTTCCAGCAGCCACGTGGCTTGCCACACTTTCACCATGCCCACTGTGCACCATGGGCCGTGGTCTCCTGGTTACTAACATCTCCCAGCTTAACAATTGTGCGCCCAATGTCCCGTGGCAAAAACACATCACTTCCATTTCACTTGTCATAACTTGCAACTCTGGGGAGCCTGTGGCAGCCTTAATCAAAGACCTAGATGCCAGGAAAGAGGCCGTGAGCTGGAAGTGCCAAGAGGAAGAGCTCAAGACCCAGATAAATGATCTGCCCCTTCCTGGATGATTCACTGTTAATTTCTGCAGAGTCTCAGGGTGTCAAGAGCTAACCATGAAGTTTGGAGGCCATGGCACAAAGCAACCAAACCAGGATTCCCACTACCTACAGGAGAGAGCCAGGGAGGCGACAAGCATTCGGGGATCCAGCAGGCTGGTGTCAGATCCCTCGCTCTCTGTGGGCCTGGCAAGCTATGAAGCCTTCCGGACCCCATCTCCTTGTAAACTTAGGACGATCATAGCTGCACCACAGGTCCTTTGAATATTAAAATGATAAACATAGGACAACAGGGTGAGCTAGAAGTTGGACTCGTGGGCCGTGGTCTCCTGGTTACTAATATCTCCCAGCTTAACTATTGTGTGCCCAACGTCCCAGCCACCAGCTAGGCCTCATAAATATTTACACGCAGCATGTGTTGCGATGTTCAATTAATTGCTCCTGTGACGCACTTTGAGAGCCTCAGAGGATAGGTGAGGAGCAAGAACCGGGGATTGCTAAAGGCACAAACAAGTCAGCTTACAGAAGCAGTGCCCTTCGGAGCCTTCCACTGCCCCAGAGCTTTCCAGGCCTTTGCCCGAATTCTAGGGAAAAGGTGCTTCCAACACTTTCCAGCACTGTCCAAGGGTGGACGTGGTGAAAGGCCTCACTGGAAAAAGGACAAAGTCACACACAGATAACTTACCACAGAAGAAATGCAAATGGCCCACAATCATTTGGAAAAAAAAAAATCCAATCTTACCAGTCCTCAAGGGAGTAAAACAGGTGAACTGAGGAATCAAGTGCACAGCAGGCAGAGCTGTTTTGAAGGAGAGCTTCCATGGTGGTGAGATGAGTGAGATGCTCCCTTCTCACTCTGTGGATCAGAATATTAACTGATGCAATTCCTCCAGAAGCCAACTGAGGGGTGGGCAGCAAGGGGCTGAGAAGACCCCCATTAACTGTCCCCTTCATTGCACTCGCTGGAGTCTCTCCATGGAAATACTCAGTGATTAGATTAAAAATGCAAGCAGGATGCGCGTCACAACAGTATTTGCAACAGGAAAAACTAGCAAGACCTTAAATGTCCCCTCCAAAAATCATACACCTGATAAATATCATGTTGTAGAATATCAACAATATACAAAGTATTTTTAACACCAGGATCCTTATACATTCCTTTTCTGGTATTTTTATACATCTACATATTTAAATGCATGCATATAACCTCATAAACGCATGTATGTATAGAAGCTTTGCCAAAATATTTCCTGTGGCATTGATTGCTATTTTCTTCCACATACATTTTTCTATTTTCTATGTTCTCTGTAAAGAGATGTTACTGTAGGTCTAGAACACTACAGACATCAAGAAACCCCTCTTCTGTCAGTTGATCCATGAAATGCCTTGACTGGGGGCCCAATCCTCTGGGGGGGTCTTGAACTGTGTGCAGCCAACGCTTATTGGTTCTCTCTTCTGCCCTAGGTCGTGGCCGCGGATCAACAGTGCCACAGGTGAGTCAGGGGCGCCAGCCACCAAACCAGGGGAAATGTCCTCGTGGGTCTGTTAGACTCTTCTTTCCCTTCTGTTTTTCCTTCGATACAATTATTGGCTTGTTCAAAATGGCATCAACTACTTACGGGCTTTCCCTCTAGCTGATACCAGGGTGCTGCCTGGCCTGTGACTCCCACAGGCTTCGGGAGCTGGCAGAGCGGGTGGGAACTGTGGCGCTCCGTTTATGAGCTGTGTAGCCTGAGATGAAGCCCAGATCCATCTGGGCCTGAGTCCTCTCCTCTGTAAATGGGTATGAGTCTGCCTAAGTGCCCGCATTGAGGCCACTCATTAGTGTTGTTCATTCAACTGAACTCCACATAAAGGGTTCCCTCCAAAATGTGTGTTGAGTGGATGAAAGGACATCTCTTTTCAGAGCCTAGTTCCTGTTACAAGGCATTTAATAGGATCCCATTACAGTTTGAGAGAAAGTATACACTATTCATCATGAAGCATTATTTCAGGGAAAGCCCCATACAACTTCCCTAGAAAGCTGGCGGCTAGAAATGATGACTGGAATGAGGCAGAAAAAATGAGAAATAGACCAGAGGCAGTGTGCCAAGCAGTGATAAGACTCATAGGAAGTGATGTAATCAGCCGATGAATTCAAAAGGCTCATTAGGGGTAGCGTCTGCGCATACAGCCAGCACTCAGCCGTGCCCCACACAGCAGTGGGACTGGGAAAGAGTAAAATCTAAATAGCAAGTATGAATATAAATAAGAAATAAGCACCCGGCTCTAATCCCTCTTGCAGAAAATATTTTTGTTAAGCTTCCCAGTCAAGTGCCAACCAAGGTTGCATTTCTCTCAGGGTAGATGCTTCCAAATTGTACTGGAGTCATTTGTCGCAAATACACTTCCCTCCACCTGCTTGCCGCCTCTCATCCCTGGCCCCACCATCCACTCAGAGCCCTGGAGGGACTGTAAAGGGGATGGTGCTGGGAAATGAAGCTGCTAATCTGATGCAGTGGGTGGCGAATTCTAAACCACGTGACCTGCACCCTCTCCCGTTGACCTTGCTCTTCACCTTCATTAAGGTAGAAAAAATCTGAGAGGTGTGTGTTCCATTTCATTGACAACCCTCCAGGGACACAAGCAGAAAAAATAAAACAAAATCAAAACTCCAAAATCACCGACTGGGATAAAGCTGCCCAGGCCTGCCCAGACGCACTGGAATCTACACCCTGCCAAGAATACTTAGCATCAAATCGCACCACCCAGCCTACGCTTATGAACTGCTGCTAGTGCCTATTAAATATAACAGAACTGACATAATTAAGAATGTCCATGATGAGCTACATGAAGCTGCTCATCTCAGTGATATTTTTCACATTCCTACATATTTTTTAATTGTTTGCAGTTTTTACCATGAGATTAGGTGAAAATATGGTGGGGCAACCATATGGGAGAATACTATGAAACTATTAAAAATGATGATGTTGAAAAATATTCACGGACATGGATATGTTATAATATGCTATTAGATGAACAAGCAAGCAGGAAAACAGTGTGTACTTTGTGCAGTCATATATACATAATCATATCGTGTGTGTGTGTATATGTGTGTGAGTGTGTGAGTGTGTGAGTGATCTATCACCAAATATGTATAGCGGTTGTCTTGATATGGGGACTTTTGAGCAAATTTTAGTCCCTTCTTTTTTTGCTTATCTATATCTTACAACTTTTCTACAGGAGCATATATTTTTCTATGCTAAAAACAATTTTTCAAAAAAAAAAGAAAAAATACTCCAGGCCTGGAGAAGACACACACATATCTCAACTTGGACAATCTCTCAATACCAATACTGTCAAAACTAATATATAGAGAACAATGCCATGTTTTTGCATAAAAGAAACTGAGGACTTTCTCTCCTTCCACTGACTAATGAAACGAAAGAAGATAGCCCTGCGTGGAAAGTGGGGCTTCTGTCTTAGTCAACATGCACAATAAAACCCTGATAAAGATATGCATTGGCGTTCCAATAGACAAGAAATTTCATTTTGTCCAGAAACATTTGCTTTGATGTTGTTTTCTTATTTTGTTAAGGAAAATGGCCTTGAAGTTTAGTTTTTTTCACCTTTAAAGGAAAAATTAAAAAGGATTTTAGGACTAGAGGGAGAAAGGCAGGTATGGAATGTGTGAACATCCAGTGCCCCCTGCTGGCCCTTTCTAGATATTGCTCTCTCTGTATTAATTTGGCAGAGAATGGTCTTCCCAAGATGTTGGGGAAATTGGTGGACAGAAACAAATTGAAAAGTTGACTGTGGAATTGCTGGGGAAAGGTGTTCACCCAGTTACCATAAATGAAAGGCAGGAAAAGCCAAAAATCATTCAAGATTGTTAAGCCCAATGATTCACAATTGTCTTCAAAAGTCAGTGTGTATCAGAATTATGAGAGTTAAAAATGTATATTCTCACTCTGAGGTTTATGCTTTGCTAGGCCTATAGTGAGACCAGGGAATCCCTACCACTAAGAAGCTAATTCCACTCAGGTAGTTCTAGGATGGTCTTTTGAGAATCACTGGCTGATGCCTACAGAAGGAAACTGTTAAGATTGTCCCCACCAAGAAGCTGCTGCCAGTTCTCTGGACACCTGTGTCACAATATCTCATTTGACGTTCTGCAGATCACCCAGGAAATGGGATGGGAGATAGCTGCCTCACTGATCACCATGCATTCACCCTTCCATCCATCCAGTCAGCCAATTTGTGGTGGTTCTTAGTGTAGCAGATAAAATAATCAGCTTTGGGTGCAGGGTTGTTTCTTTTTTTAATGCAAATGAAAGGTCCCAGGGACTCAGCTAGTCTCAATTCTAATACTGTGCTTACAGATGAGGAAACTGAGGAAGAGAAGGAAAGCAAATTTCCAAGGGCCACCTAGTGAGAACATTAAGCCTGTTCTCCGGACTCCTAGTAAATGTTTCCCATGTAGCTATTTCTGTGAATTTGGACTATTCATGACTTGGAATTTCAGCTCATCATCTTCAGATTAGGAGACTGTAGTTCAGGGAATACAACTGGAATGACCAGTAGAGACAGATGTCTGAGCTGGCAGACAGCTGGATGACAGATATGATGTAGGTATTTATATATAACATACATATATTAACGGGCACAGACAAGCTATAGTTCTCCCTACTTCTGCTGTCTCTTGCCTTCCAAGTCCTTTCCTTTCCCCCTCTTCCTCTCTTCCTCCCAAGTATAAATCATATCATCAAAGCTCATTGAACATCATAATCCTTTCCTCAGAGAAGTGAAATAAAGGGAAGGCAGACCATTCCCGCTTTTCCCTACATGGATTGATGCCAAACTGAAGATGTTCTGAAGTCTGAAACTTGCCAAGGGAAAGGGTGTAGAGTATCCTCTTTCTCATCATACTGAGATAAGGTGAGATGGATACCCTCTGCCCCCAAGGACTGTGAAGTCCTTAAAAGATAAAAATTGAGAAAGACAGCACAGAGCAAAGGAAAGAAACCTAGACACTAAGCCCAGAATTTGAATACAGTTCTCTAACTACATCAGTGAGTCCTAAGACCTGAGAATGAGAGAAAAGGGAAAGAAATTCACATACATAGAGTCCCTCGTTTGTGCCAGGCATTTTGTAAGCCTCTCTAATTCAGCCGTAGGGAGCTGGTTTTCTTATATTCCCTGTACAGATTAGGTAAACTGAGACCAAGAGAAGCTAGTTGCCTTGGAAAGAAATCAGTAGAGAAGAACTCAAACCCATCACAATATGTTTGTGGTGTTGTGTGCCAAACATTTTTGGCCTCAGTTTTTTCATCTTTAAAATAAGGGGGTCCACTATATGCTGGGGGTCACTGATCCTTCAGCCTCACAGCTGGGAGGGACCCCAGCTGTGGACAACCTTGTGAAAAATCAACAAGAGCATATCAACAGAGTTGAATGTTAAAAAGGCACGTTTTGTTTTAAGATGAACACTAAATAATGAACAAGTTCTTCATACAGATCCGAAAACAGAATGCCAAGGATCCGCATTGCATGAGAAAGATTTGGTCATGAAATTGGACTTGAAAAGACATGAAACAGTACACAGCAATGCATGTGTGGCACTCAACCAGGGAGTTGTTTTTTTTAACTTCTCAACAGCTCTTTGGGGTAAATATTCTTCTCATTCTACAAGTAAATACTGGTTAACTGAGGCTAATAAGCTAGTCTAAAGTCACATGGCCAGAAAGTGACACAGGCAGGATTTGAACCTAGAACCTCCCTCTCCCACTTCCATGAAATACGTGTTCATGCCTTTCACCAGAGTCTCTGCTGTTCCTGGAGAACTCCAAAGCTGACCTCCGCAAGGAGATAACACATTTAAGGCTGAAAGGCATTTAAAAAGAAATGGGGACTTCCACATGACAGATGTTTCCCTTCTGCTTATGTAGTCGAGTCCAGAGGTAAGCAGTCCAAAGCTGTTCGGCAGCTCTGGCCCTTGGAGTCCTCAGAGGCCCTTCTCCCTCCCTTGTACCGGCCTCAATCCCATCGCCTAAAATAGTCAGAACTGTGCTCCAGGCAGCAGGAGGGGGAAAAGAAGAGACAAACGGTACACCACAATGTCTCTTCAGAAAGTTTCCTGGAAACCGTGAGCTCGTTGTCCACCTCTTCCATTTATCAAGACTGGGAGTCATGGCCACGTGTCGCTGCCACGTGGAAAAGGAGGTCGGGAGAAGTACTTACTCTAGGTGGCCATGGAGCCTACTGACCATCAGGGCTCTAACGCTGAGAAGAATGGGAGGGGGGAAAAGACCAACAGGGACAGGGGCTGTACCAGGTGTGCTTAGTGAGCGGTCATTGCCATCCACGGTCCCCTTGTGGCTCGCTGAGTCTTCATAAGCCCAGATGGCTGCCTCTGGAGCTGCAAACCTCTCCGTCTCCCCACCCCCCGAACTCTTGCGACTGAAATGCAGACAAGCTGGTTTTGCCTGGTGAACCTGTCTGGCTTGGGAATGCCATCATCAGAAAAGCCTGCTGACTGACTTCGCTTCCTGGAGAAATAGGAAGTTCTCAGACCCTGCAGGCTTCCTACAGGTACTTCTCTTCTCACCCCAGACAGGCATATTCCCTTCATGGGACCTGCTGGGAATTGTTAGAGCCGATGATTTCCTTTGAATGTGACTATCCCTTGGCAACAGCCCTTGGGGGTTCAGCCAGCTACCCTGTCCTTGTAAGAGGCCATAAGACACCAGCCCTGCACCTCCAGGGGTTGACATTCACAGAAGTGTTTGAAGTGAAAACCGTCTGACAGTGTAACTTATATAGCCTACCTCCCACTGGAAGACAATTGGAGTTTCTTAGTCAGTGGCTTTCAGACTTCAGTGTGAATAAATGTCACCATAAAAGCTTGTGCAGAAAGTAATGGGGTTATACTGTGATATCCAGGTCTTGCTTTCTTTGCTTTTGCGTGTGTGTGTGTATGTGTGTGTGTGTGTGTGTGTGTGTATGTGTGTTACTTTAAGCACCCAAGGTGCAAAGGGCCAGAAGAGTTGATGGGCATTAGCCACAATGTCCCATCACACCTCTGCAGGCATGAAAAAGGATGTCCTAGCTGAGGGCCAAAGGCTGGGGTGATTGCATCTGCCAGGCTGGAAACCCCCTGAGCTCTTCATGAAACAGTCATCTTTGCTACTCTCTTAACAATAACTTTCAAGGGAACGTTGTCTTTTACAAAAACATGTTTCCTTGAGGGGCACAAGAAGCCATTTGTTCTCTGGAGCTGTTTGTTATCAGTGACACATGACTGCCTACAGATAAAACATGGGCATCACACTTCCAGGATGGTGACAGGAGGAGCTACTAGCAGCTTCCTTCATCTTTTTAGAAGACAGCTCTCTGAAAATCCAGCCTATCCTTGAGTTCCAGGAAGACTTAAAGACCTGGAAGGTTTCGGGGTACCACTTTGGGGGGGATCTAGGGCCCAACAAGAAAGAATGTGAAGCTCAAGTTCACTCAGCAGGGGAGGAGAGCAGGTCCTATGTGAAGTCCTGTCCCTTGTTCCTGGTCCTGGGGTGTTTCCACAGTACCACGGCTGTATTTCACAGTCGCCCACTTATTGTGCATTTCCTATACACTTGGTCACAGGGGCGATCAAGAGCCTGCAATCCCACCACTGCCTTGGGGAAAACAGGCACCACACTCTGCAACCCTATAATATACTTACTGGTTTGCTTTGTTCCTACGTGCCATGGAGAAACTAAAAAGCTGTTAATCAGAGAGAGCTAACATCTATAATGCATCAACTATAGATGTTAGTGGTTTAATAAAAGAAAGATCTATTTCATGCTGACATCACAATCCAATGTGAATTGAAGAAGGTCTTCTTTCAGACACTCAAGATTCATTTTCCTGTCACCCCGTGGCTTCCATGACCCCTAAGGGCCTGGGGGGTCCTCTGTCTCTGGCCAGCCACTGAGGCAAGAGAGCAAGGAGTGTCAGGCGGGCGGGCCTCAAGTGGCACCCGCACACCCCTTGTCCCGGGCCATAGTGCCATGCCATGGCCACCCCGTGCAAGGAACACTGGGAAAGGAATGCCTGCGAGCCCCACAGGAAGAGGAAGAGGGGTTTATTGAGCACACAGTAGGCCCGCTACCATGCCAGACGCTTGAGGTAGTGAGGGTGGAGACCGGAGAGGTGCTCTAGATCTTTATGAGACTGGTGGTTAGGAACAGTCCCCTGGGGAAGATGACATTTAAGACACAATCTGATAGACAAAAAGGACCCAGTCATGGGCAGAGCAAGGAAAGAATGTTCTGGACTGATGAGAGCACATGCAAAGCCTCTGAGGTAGGAGGAGCTTGTCGTGCCAGAGAGACTTGGAAAGAAGCTGACATGACTGGAGTTCAGAGGGAGGAAGAGACAGGACAGAGAGGAGACTAGAAAGAAGCAGGAGCTCGGCGGTGCAGGGAGTCGGGACTGTATTTCATGGGCCATGAGTGACATGAACTGATTTACACTCTTAAAATCATGCTCTTAAAATTACATTTCCAAAACTGCATTATAAACAACACAGATGGGTTCTGTGGGAGCCAGAGACCTCCTTCCATGAAAAAGGGCCCTGCGTGCACACAACAAAGAAGCGATCAGATGTTGCCTATTTTTATTTCAGTGTCATGGTGAGTGACACAGAAAATAAGTGCTGTCACAGCTGAGTGAGAATGAAGTAGCCTGGAGAGGTCAGAGACAGAAGCCCCAAGAGGCCCTCACAGGCCCCAGAACATCTTGGAAAGCAAAGCAGGAGAGGTCTGGACTACAAGTGAAGTGATACAAAAGACCCGGAAGAGGCGTGAAGCACATTCGGGGAATCCTGGAGGGCCTCGGGCTGCAAAGCTGGGGAGAGAAGAGACCCCCACAGCTCTCCATGGGGGTGTTGGTATAACAACCGTGTCCAATGAGGCCAATTTCCTAAAATGAAATTATTTGAACCCAGAATGAAGCAGTGGAGCTATTTTCCTAGACCACAAGGGTCCCAGCAGATCCAAAAGCTATTTCTGTGCTCATTCGCTTCTTCCAGGCCAGCTGGTCTTTATAGGGTAACCTTATCAATTTAGCTCAACTCATGAGAGAGTACAAGTTGCTATTCTGAAGGGCTGGAAAACCTGTGGGTTTTTCTGCCAGGTATCTCAGTAGGGGTGTGGTTGTGCTGTGACGGGACGGTGTCATTAGTGTCCTAGGACAGTCGTGGGCTAGGACCGGTGGCAGGTACAGACAGTGTTTCACTCCTGCCTGCTCATTATCTCATGATCTGCTTTGGCTAGTGGACACTTCCCCCTGCCCTGGTCAGAGGCAAATCCCAGAGAGTTGGGTTTCCACTGAGCTAAGCCTTCATTAATTCATACATTACCCCCTACAAAAGGCTTGGGCATGCTGACACAAATTCACCACTATTCATTTCATATTCTGGTCTGGAAAGAGAATTCAGAGAGAGAAAACAAAAGTTTAAGAACATGATGAAGCCAGACTAAGAGGCAGAAATACATATCACGCCACAGTGCTCCAAACTTAGACACAGGCCAGAATTTGCTCTGAGCTCTTAGTAGCCAAAGGAAGAAGGAACGTAAGGTCTCTTACAGGATTGGCATTTTCTATGGAATCAAAAAAACCAACTGCTAAAAAGCATACCACTTCTGGTCCTGAGACCTCCTAGAAACTTCTCACATATGTGCTAATAAAGAGAATGGGATAAGAACATTTTCTGCTTATAATGTTCCTCAGTGCAGACTAACAGTGGGAAATTGTAATGCAATTTAGGAAAATTAAGTTTACAGGGAAACAAAAAAAACCAGCACATCGTGGGAGCAGTTCTTTGGTGGTTTTGCAAAATCTGGGGGTAAAATTTAAAACACAGAACACTGAATCCCCTCGATGATCTTCACGCAGTCTTTTTCATAAAACAAGTCCAAACAAGGAGGGTTAAAAACTGCAGCTGAACAACATTTATTCAACAAATGCCCATTAGGAATTCTTTTGGTGGATACAGGACCCTGTGCCTGGAGCTACAGAGAGGTGAAAGGTCATGTAGTGCCCTGCTCTCCTACAACCCACAGTCTGTTCAAGGAGACAGATGTATGGCCAGATTATTGCATATGCAACATGCTTGCCATAAGGGGGGAAAAGGGGAGAGGAAGGCGAACCTCACTGACTGAGGTCTGCTGAGTGATGGTTCGCACTGACGTGGTGGGGACTGGCCTCCCACATCACGACTCCCCTTCAGTGAGAATGCCAACCTGCTGGAGAGAGAGCATCTTCTTGGTTTGGGCTTGCTTTTCTTTCCTCCACTTCAATTGCTCCTGTTTTGCAAGAGCGGCAGATAGAGCAGGAAAGTGAAAATCAGCGTTTCATCTTGAGCAATTACAGTCAAGAAAAATTAATTGAAATGAGCACAGGATTTCTGGAGAAAATGAAGGGCCCAGTCTTTGCAATGCTGTGCAGTAACATTTCAGTCTGCTTTTGTTGACAGGCCAGTACCAGACTATTAATGACCCTCTTCTGGATTATGTAAGTCACCCACGTCCCTCACCTATTTTGTCAGTCTTTGACATTTACAAAGTAAGTGGCTTTTTTCAAGGTACTGGGTGAATTTAAAAAACAAACAAAAAGCTTTTCCAAATGACATGATTTTCTGGCAGAGAAAATTGAATTCTAATTTTTGGGTAAAAAGCTGTACTCCCACAATATACACTGCAAATCAAGCCATCATGCTATGGGGCTTCAACTCGTACAGTCAGGTATGTCAATTATTTCTCAGTAAAACAGGGAAAAAATAAGTAGTAAAGCAATAATATAAGGAAAGGCAAAAAAAGAGATCTGTACCCCAATTCCTCAGCTATAAAATGGAGATAAAAATCAACTCACATGGCCATTGTGACAATTGAAAAAGGTAAGAACATGAACACATGGGGCTGTCAAGTCAGCACTTCCTAACGCTCATGGTGAAATTTTAAATTGGAACAAACTTTCTCACAAACAATTTCATAATATTAATTAACCAATATAAAAATGTCTATTTTCTTTGGCTTGATCATTCTGTGGTGGGGAATTTAAACTAAGGAACCAACCTAAAATTTGAATTAATATTTATACACACTCATTCATATTTTATAATAATGTATTTTAAATGGCAACACACTGGAATCATTCTAAATATTCAATAATAAAAATCATTGCATATATTATGATATAGTCATATTATAAAGCCATTAATAATATTTACAAAGAACTTTAATAAAATTCAAAATTTATAACATGAACTCAGATATTTAATACTATTTTTTATTGTTAAATTGCATATGTATATAATATAAATAGTTTTAACTAACATATCTGTAAGTGGTAGATTGCATAGATATAAAGAGATGATAGATGATATATAACCACATAGATATAGATAGCCCGTAAAAATCATTGGATCTACACAGTTTGAAAGACTTCCTTAAGAATTGAATTAAAGGTAGGGAATCCTCACCTCAGGAAACACGCACACACACTCACTCAGTCACAAAATACTTTATAAAGTAGGTTTATGTGTAGAGAATATTGAGCTTTTAGTTAAGAACCTCTGATATTGACAGTAGATAGATAATAGATAGGTAGATGTGATTCATTATATTTAAAATAAAACTCTCTTTCTTGAAAGAAATAAAGCCGAATATGTATATTTGGTGGTGAGGGCAAGATTCTCGGGGTTGGTATAGATTCTCTTCAGACCCGGGCTGGTCCCTCTGTGTCCTGCCTCCAGGGAGTCTAGCGAGGTGGGGGAACCACGGATGGGCTTCACCTCAGGCTCCCGATTTAGCAGCAGGTCCAAGACTTTTCCAAGGAGGCTGTGTTCTGGGGAGTCTTGGTGGTCGCCATGACAGTATATAAATGGTGTCCTTACAATAAATTTCCATCTGATAAGTTCCCAAAGGGGTCAGACCCACACTCCAGCTCAGAACTCACTTGTGCACAGTTCTGGAGAGGAGCCTGGTTGCCGTCCCCGCCTTTGCCAGGTCAGCTGTGAGCCTTCACCTTCCTGCTGTGCCCAGACACTCAGCTCTACTGTCCTGAGCTCCTACCACAGGCAGGTGCCACAGTAGAACCTTTATATCCATTTTCCTCAGTTAATTAATTACAACCAAATAAGGTAGGTTTAGCCATCCCCTATGTACAGATTGAGCATCTGAGTTAATTAAGTAACCTCCCCAAAATCGTAACATGGACCCATTATTTAGGTCTCGGATGGTGTGACTCCATCCCAGATCATGCTACCTCCAAGCACAGCAGTCTCACCTGGTGTTCCATCCAAGAACCCCCAGTCTGAGCGCTGCTCTCCTGACACCAGACCAAGGAGGAGGGGTGTCATGGCTGTGATGCCCAGCCTCTGGAGACATGGCATCAGTGCAGCCATGCAAACAGTCCTACTCCCACTCTGCGTTCAGTGATTTACGCCTAACTCCTTGAGTTCGATAAACCTGGTCTTCATAACTTGTCTGATTCCTCAATTCATGCACGACTCATGACTTGCTTTCCCTGGGGAGCACTTGGGTGGGAATCGAGGGCTATCTCAATGGAAGTCAAAACCATTGTCTTCAGGGACCCACCTCTTTCTTTATTCAGGCCCATGGGGAACACAGACTTTCTAAATTACCTCTGCATCCTTATGTCAAATGAGCAGAGTTGCTCAAATCAAAGTGGAGTCCAAAAGGCCTTCCAGACTGGGGGCTGCTGAGCCCCACCCGGTGGTATTGCCAACCTGGAAACTGGACACATGGTGTAACTAGTCTTTACCTTCATCAAACTGCTTTGATAGCATGATGATAAAAAGAGCCATACACTTGGAGGCTTGGGGCTAGTAAGCGGCTGCCCAAATACATTAGAGAACTAGAATAATGCAGAGCTAGAATTTAAACTCAAGCCTGTCTCAGTCAAAGTCTCTTCACTATAGTAACATCACCTCACAGGTTTCTCTGCTTATACAATGAAGTACATAAAGCACATGGCACATAAAAACTACTTAACAAAAGCTAGAGGGACTTTGAGAGGAGGAGCAGAAACCATGACAGGTGGCCTTCCCTTATTTCTGACTTTTTAAAATAATATGCATTATTATGGTGGCAGTCATAGTAATATTGACAGCTAATATTGATTGAGTACTGACCATCAGTCATTTTGCTCAAAATTTTGCATGCATTGTCTCATTTAAGACACTTCTGGTTGCCATGTGTGATTATATTTATTCAGTGTACATTTGTATCATCTAATTCAAAAAGAAATTTGAAGTAGACTCTGACAAAATACTTCTATATCTAGGCAAATTATAGTATAAATAGAAATTTTTAAGCATAAATATGGAAAAAATGACATCCTTGCCCCCAGGACCAAATACATATATTTGGCTTTATTTCATTCCAGAAAGAGAGACAGAGTTTTATTTTAAATATAATGAATCATATCTACTTGTCTATTATAGTTAAAACCTATTATGTTATGTGCTTGTTTAAAAAACATATATTAAGAATCTGCTATGTGGAAAAGACAACAACCGTAGTTTAGGCTATAACCCAACAACTTTGGCTTTACATGTTCAGCCATATAAAATATGTTGACTATAAAATAATTGGGAGACCAAGGAAAGAGTTTAGGTTCTCCCCAATCCATGTAGTGTGGCTGCAGCTGGCTAGGAAGAGATGAAATGCTCCCTGCAGAGTTAAAAAGGACCTTAAAAATCAGGCACTGAGCCCAGGCTCCCACTGTTGGCCATTGCAATATCTGGTGAAAAGTCAAAATCATGAGTACTGCAACACAAGGTGTGCCCTGGGTTCTCTGTCCTTAATTTTCAGTGTTCAGAACAATTCCTGGTGTGGATGTGGTGGGAAGATCTGATCTGACCATTTGTGGTACCTGGGATCTGTGTGGCTTTCAGAAGTTACCATTCTCAGTTTCTGCATTTAAAAAGAAGATAAAAGCTCCTAATGTTAAGGGACTAATTGGGGAATGTGCATGAAAATGTCTTGTAACCGTACCTGTTATTCATAGCCATGGCCATTTGGAGTCTTAACGGAAACTTAAAGATGTTAAAGATTCTCCCAGAATATTCCACAGCCTTCTCAGATTGTTAGCTCCTTTCCAGCACATATTGCCTACATCACTTTGTGGCATCTGGATTCTCTCTCTGGCTCTAGTGAAGACAAACACCATTTCTATAAACTAGTGAGCATTCTGAGACCCAGGGAAGGTATAGGGGCACTTGGTGTCTCTGTATGATGAACGAGAGATCTTTTTGTACAAAAGATTATTGAGATTAGTGTGCCTGCTTATGCATAGCACAGTGTCAGCTCCAGATCCCAATGCACAAATGCAGATTCCAGGATTCCTATGATAACAGTTACAAGTTACATCTATGGTAGACTGGTACCCAATCCTATTACTCTTGGTGTTCAGACTCAGAGCTCATGCCTGGTGTATAGAAATACAGCTAAAATTTGTATGTTGGTCATGTATCCCAACATCTTGCTGAATTTTTTATTAGTTTTAAAAATTATTTAGTGGGTTCCTTGGGATTTTTCTATATACGAAATCACATCCTCTGCAAATAGATCTCCTTTCTTCTCTGAAGGGCTCATGTGGTTATACGGGGCCCACTCAGACAACACAGGATCATCTCCCTATTTCAAAGACAACTAATTAATCCTACTGATATCATCAATGTCCCTTCACAGCAGCACCTAGATTTTTGTTTGACTGAATAACAAAGGAGAGGCATGTTTAAGGACATCTTTAGAATTCTGCCTACCACAAGAATGTAACTAACCCATACCCCCACCTCTTAAACCCTTAATTCCCGGCCAAGAGAATCTGTATCACTCCCCTGGCTAGCAGCGTAGCCTGTAATCTTTGTCACTGTTGTGCTTTCCCTTGACTCACTTGAATGTTTCCTTCTGCTCAGGAAAGGAACTTCGCTACCGCCTTGGATGAAGCAGAAGACCACAGGGATGATGACTATGAGAACCCCGAGCTTCCTGTGGACGAGGCATGGCGATCCATGAAAATTTTGCCAGCCAGGCCAATTAAGGAATCAGAATATGCAGGTAATATTTAGGGCCTAAATTCTGAAAATGGTGCTATATTGCACAGCAATTAGAGCTGCAGATTCTGAATTAAACAGCTCTCAGTGAAAATACTATCTCCATGGCTTACTAGCTGTGTAACCCTGAGCAAGCCCCTAAAAGTCATGTTCTCTCTCTGAAAATAGGGTTCATAGTGACAGAAATTGGTCCCAAAGAATTCTTCTCTAATGCCTATTGAGTTCTCATCTAAAGACCTGGCATGAGTCAGAGCTCCATCACTATTATTTATTATTATCACGATGCTCTTCTTGAGTCCTAGGAACGACTGATGAGCATGGCAGAGGGTGAACAGGCAGGGATGTTAAGATGAAGGTTGCATCATGGGGAACAGAGTAAAAAAGGAGAACTTAAACTTGGTTGATTTGTTTTAGAGGTGGACACATAAGTAGCACTAGGGCATGGCAGTGACCCAAGCTGCCTCAGACTAAGGAAGACCTAATTTCAGAGCCACCTTCACCTCTTTCTAACTGAGGCACACAGGGCAGCTTCAGCAAGTTCTCTGAATCTTAGATAAAGCACGCTGCCATGAGGGAAAGGAGGAAGCATGTGTGATTTCTCTGGGCCTGACCCACTGGAATAAATCTGTAAGGGATTGCAGAGAATCCCCTCGTAAATAATGGGGACACTCCTTTGTGCTCAGCCAACAAGCATGTGCTGAGTAGCTACTGTGTGCCAGTTACCACGTTAGGATGGATCCAATGACAAAGCGTGATCCATGCTCTCAGGAAGGTTACAATCTAGTGTCAGAAACAAAAGGATCAAAAGATGAATGCGATGGAATAGTGCACAACATAGAAAGTGCATAATACAGAAAGGAGTGGGTATTGTGTGGGGGATCTAGGAAGATTCTCCAAGGCAGGATATGGTCTAAGCCTTGAAAATCAAGGCAAATTTCCCAGGTGGACGACAGGATGAAGGCCACCCAAGTGCAGACTTTGGCATTGACACGTATGGACCAAGAGGAGTAATTTCTCCTCTTCAAGCCTTGGTCTCCTCGGCTGGTCAGTGGAAGAGAGAAATTCTTACCTCATACTATGTTGTGAGGACTCAGTCAGTCTGTAGATGTGCAACTATTTCTTAAACTGTAGTGTGCTCAGTCCACATAAGTTATGACTTTAAACTTTACTCTTTTCACAGATACACGCTATTTCAAGGGTCTGATGGACAGTCCCCTTTCCGCAGGTGCCAGCGCCTCTGTCCCCATGCAGAGCCAAACCAGGGGCACATGGACGAGGCTGGAGGAAGTGAGTAAAGGCTTGACCCTGTGAACCAAGCTTGTGCAGGGCTCCTCAGGCAGCCAGGAGCTTCCCCACCTCTCATTCCCAAGGCGCCTTGCTAGGTGATGAGCGGGCCAGGTTTGAGAAGAGTCAGGGGAGCTGACCCGTATGACTGGTGGGCTCACGGTCCTGTGGGATAAGCACCTGGCAGGCAGGAGAACTGACACTGTTGACCATGTTCTGCGAGCCAGACAAGAGGCGCAGGACCCCACATGCAGCTCATCTAATGCTCCCATTCTCCAGGAGCAGAATTGGACCTCAAGTCTCGCTGATAACAACACATCATTTTGCCCAGATTGTAGGCCCAATACCACCAACCACTAACCGGGTGGTAATAAGTCAGTCACACAACCGCTCTGAGCCTCTTTGTAATCCCATCTACACCCAGGAATAAAAGTCCCTACCAGGCTCGTTTCAAAAGGCTGTTTAGAGACAACAAAAGATGAACTTGTGAAAGTATCCTTTAATTGCAAATGCTCTAAACACATATGCAGAATTTTGTTTTTAATTACACTGTGGCTAATGCTTAATTTTTCTACTACAGAAATGCATAAAATACAAATTAATCACTTCTCAAGTTGCAGGGTTATAGGTCATGATGTTTTGGTGCATTTCATGTTAATATTTCCTAAGTGACAAAGCATGATGCATGCTTTAATCTGTGATTGAACTTGGTTGATGTGTTTCATGCAAGGGACTCCTTGAATAGTATATACCTGGCTTTCTTCTCTTTCACATTAAATTCTGGTTATAAAATAATTTCCCATGTGATAAAGAAGCATTAATAGCAACATCTTTATAGGTATACCCCATTATGGGATTTTTAATTATTTTATTTAACCACTGAGTGAAAACATTTTGAAGACTTTTGATACATATTGTGAAATGTCTTTCCTGAAAAATCATTTCAATTTTCCCTCTCAGAAGCCCTATATGGAAGGAACTGTTTACCTCATAAAATTCTCATCAAAACTGCTATTTCTTCATTAGCCATATTTTTAAAGGGAGTTCACTGTTCTTGTCTTAAATTTGCACCACATTTATTGGTGAATGTGAACAAGCTTTTGAGTATTTATACCAGATTCCTCCTTGTGCATTATTTGTTCACATTGTTTATCTATTTAGCTTGAGGGCTTCTGTTAATATTGATAAGAAAAGGAAACCACACATATTACCAAGCAGTGTCATTTACACAGAACACATCTCCCAGAGTGGGAGGGCAGGATGAGCAATGAAATACTGAACACCTCCATTTCACACAGGTACCAAGCTAGACATTTGAACCATTCACTCGGCAAGTTCATTCAAGAAATATGCGTTAAGTGCCGCCAGGGACCAGATACAATGATCGGCTCCAGAATGCATGCATTCTTGAACAACCAAGGCCTTGCGCTCATGAAACGTACATGCTGGTAGGAGGAGGCTTGTAGTAAATAAAAAAATAAGAGGTAGACAATATGTCAAGTGATAAGTGCTTTGAAAAAATAAAGCAGACTTAGGCAGTCACAGAGGGACTTCCTGAGTACAGATGGGAATGGATGAACGAACGGCATTTAATCCTTAAAATAACCTTGTAAGAGGGGCATTATAATCCCCATTTTAACAGCTCCAACTTTTATGAGCTCTGTCCCTCTAAGCCAGGTACTCATCCCCTCTCTGAGCCTGGGTTGCCTTTCTATAAAACAAACATATATTTATATATATAAAATAGATAGCTATCATGACAGTACATACAGACCGCAGCCCCAGCACAAAGCAGTCAGTCAATTAGATGACATCTCACTGAGGATTGGGGACCCCTGTAACCACAGCAGCTAGCACAGTGCCCTTATGTAAGAGGCTCTCAATCAGTACTGATTAAATGAATAAAAATCCACAAACTTAATCACTTGAATTCAATGTCAAAATATGAGCAACTGTTTAATAGGAAAAGAAACCCAGTCTTTCCCTTGCTCACGTCTATCACGTGGAACGCTTTCCGTCTGGCTTTCAAAGTTCTCATGTGAATATGTGCTACTTTGACCAAGAACTGCGACTGGGGCAGCCCGGTTTGACAAGGAGGATGACATCTCAGGGTACACGTCACGAGAGCATAACACGTGTTCAGGGAACAATAAGAGTTTCAGAGTGACTGAACCAGTCAGTGGCTGAAGACACACTTTCTGGTCTGGTTATAAAGGAATAGACAATGTTCACCTGAAAAGTTGAGCTTTCCTTTCCCTAAAAATCACTGATTAATACCCCCCTTACATGTAAGTAAGCCTTCATGAGAAGAATTTTTTAAAAATAATTCTCATTATTTTTTAAAACAACTATGCCAGAATTTAAGCCTCCATTCTTATTACTTTATATTCCTTCATAATATCTTTGTAGCTTTCTGTTACAAAGCAAATCTCTTCCCTTTGCTAGATCACTTGCAAGTGGGACTTGCATATATAATAATCTCACATATTAAGTCAAGTGAAATCATGTGAGAAAAAGGGCTACGGGAGGCAGAACACAATTTTGGCCAAGTGGGAAGTGATTTTCTAAATTAAATAAGGATTTTGCCTCAATTCAGATAAAGAGGGAGTTTTACTCTTATAACCAATGTTTGAATAATGAAGTGTTCAAGGCAAACAGATTATATTTTTCTTCATAACCTGATTCTCAGGAGTTAATTCTGACTAGTTCTGCACATTTATGTTGAAATTAAACTACCTGTGAAAAGGATCTTCAATAATTCTTACAGAGGCCAGTTCTTATCTAGCCTCCTTAGGTTGATTACAGCTGTCTTAAGCCACTAAGCCACTGCCCATCTTTCCATTTATTAAGCACTTACTATGTACAAAGCATGTGCTCAACAATGGGGATAAAAAATGAGCTGGTGTCCACAGTCTAATGGAGGAAGCAGTGGCCCAAGGTGGCAGTTCCAGTGTAATCCAAGGGCTAAAACAGAGGTGAGCACAGGCTTCAAAGAGAGAATGAAGCTCTTCACTCAGCCCAGCCAGGGGCCTTGGAGAAGCCTTCTACAGAAAGTAATGCAAAGCAGTCTTTGACATCAAGGACACATTGCATTGTAATCAGTGGTTTTTATCGGGGGCCATTTTGCACCCTGCGGCTATTTGACAAAGTCTGGAGGCATTTTGGTTGTGAGGTCTAAGGCAGTGCTACTGACATTTGTGGGTGGAGGAGAGGCTGCTGCTAAGCACACTCCAATCCCTGGAGCAGCCCCGCATGGCAAAGAATTATCTGGCCCCAACTCTCCATGGTGCTGAGGTTGGGTGATCTGTGTTCTAATCTGTTGTAAACACAAATCTGTATGCAGGTCTAGGTCCTTTAAATCTTATTTCTCTTTGTTCCCTCATAATCTAGCACTGATGCAGGTATAAAGTAGGCTCTAATATTTATTTTGGTAGAAAATGGGAGTGGTCTCAAGAGAGAGCTCAGGATCCTATACTAATACCATCACAGGGTGCCTACTGCTGGAGGGGAAGCAATGGGAAGAAACTGTCTCATGTAAAAGATCCAGTGGAGCCAAATGTCCAAAGACAGAAAATGCAATTTAGCCACCAAAGGGGAAAGGGCAGGAATACTAAGGAAGCCCCAACCCTAACGCCCAAAGCCCCCAGGACCCACCTAAGACAGAGACAACGGAGAACATCTGCTCTGCTGACCAGGCTAGGAATGGGAGGTGGGCAAGAGCATTGAGAAACACCCCTTCTGTGGGGCAGGCGCGCAGGCAAGGCTGTAAGCTCAGCTACATCAAGAACACTGGGAAAGCCCTGCTGCACCCAAACCTCCACAGGGTAACCCTGGAGGAGTTCGAAGCTGATGGTACAATGAAGAAAGTCACAGCAGCAAAATCTAAGCCATGCTCAAGTCCACTAGACTGACCAGCAGGAGAGCCACAGTCCTCCCAGGCATAAATACTGTGGTTCAACATTTCAGAGAAAAGAGGTGGACATTGTACATCAGAAGGTAAGAGGTAGCAGGGGGTTCAGTGATCCTTCCCCCCATCCACCTTGGCCACCTCAACTTGGCATCAATAAAGAGCAAGGCTAAGACCCTGTATTTGTCAGGATTCTCTAGAAACACAGGAGATGTTAAAAAGAGATGACAGAGAGAGATAATAGAGACATACAGACATAGACAGACATAGGCATGAACGTAACGTAAAATAGTGATTATGGAATCTCAATCCCACGATCTGCCATCTAAAAGCTGGAGACCCGGGAGAGCCCACGATGTGAGTTCCAATTCGAGTCCAAAGGCCTGAGGACCAAGAGAGCCAGTGATGTAAATCTCAGTGGAGGCTGCAAGACCAACACCCCGGCGCAGAGTCAGGCAGAGAGACCCAATTCTCCTTTCCTGTGCCTTTTTCATTCCATTCAGGCGCTCAGTGGATTCCACACTGGGAGGGGCAATCTGCCTTACTCGGTCTGCTGATTCAAATGCTAATCTTATCTGGAAACACCTTCACAGACACACCCAGAAATAATGTTTGACCTGTGCATCTGGGCACCCTGTGGCCCTGTCAAGTTGACACATCAAATTAGCCATCAGAGACCCCGATGTTGACTTGGGTTTCAGTGCTTTCCGACACACTGGATATCATTATGATGTCTCCAACATATTCTTCACCCTCAAGTCTAGCAATTGTATAGCCCTTCATAGTTTACCAACACCTTTAATAACATGAATAATGAGAGCCAACAATTATTAAGCGTGACAGGTGCCACTCCCTGTCCCAGCACGTTGCACCGTGTGTCTGCTGTAACCCTCCCACCCTCCTGCGGTATCAGAACTTGTGTTGCCTCCATTTCACAAATGAGGATACTGAGGCTCAGAAGGTTAAAAGGTTTGCCAGAGCCTCACAGCCAGCAGGTGATGGAGGTGAGACCCCAACACAAGCATCCACACAAGGCCACATGCTCTGTTCTGCTGCTTGATCACATGCATATACTTGATCACACATATTAACCTTCATGACTCAATGACATGAACTGACTATTTTCCCTACAAAGATGAAAAACCTAAGGCTCATAATATGCTAAATGTCTTTCCAAAGTTTCAGAGCAATAAGAAGCCGGATTGGATCATAAAGCCAAGTATTTTTATGCCAAATGCCATCTGAGACCACAACACGCATCACTAGCATCACGATACATGTAATTATACTTACTTATACATATTGACTGACCCCCAACCACACAGAGAGGGTGATCTCTGAGAAGGACAAGTCCACAGACTTAGGTCTTTATCCTTAGGAATGTAACCATACAAAGCATTATTATTAAATGTTATCATTGTCACGATTTAAGAGAACATGGTGCCATGTTGTTTTCTACAGGTGGACAAACCCATTTCCAAGGACATCAGAAGCCAGCACATTAAAGGTAAAGTCAAGTCAGAAAGTTTGAAAAACAAGTACATTTCTTTGCTCCCAAGACCCTCTTGCATTTTTGTTTGTGGTCACAGATTTTCTTAAACAAGGCGATCTATTGAAATACCTTTCATGAAATAACTAAGTTTGGAAAGATTCCTACACATCTTATGTTTTTTTATTGCCTTACCTTATTGATGAGAAATTGGTTATGAAAATTCATCTTCTGTGTTAGGCAATTTCAAAGAGGAATTGTTTTGAAACATATAGATTGTGTTAAATATATAACTAAGTTATTTCTCTAAGCATAGCCCCAGGAAAATCACAAGATAGAAATCTAATTTTAAAACGTTGATTAATTCATATGAAAACAGATTTTAAAGCTTTAGGCAAAGCAACTCAATTTGAAGATGAAGACACAGGTAGGAAGCTGGAAGGAAATAATCAATTTCAGTAGTGCTGAGAGCACAAATGGAGGATAACCCAAGAAATTTAATTGGATCATACACATTATAGCTTCTCTCATCATTTCCCTCTGTGCCCCATCTTCTCTCACAATACCCAATTGGAAAAAATGAGAATGTCATGATTTACATTTCCCAATAACCGACACATACCAAATTCATCTTTTATGTGTCTAATGCTATATTCTATATATTCTATAATATACCACTAATATCCCACTTTCTTTAAAGGGAAAGTAAAATAGTTAAGGTCCTAACAGGAAACAGATGGCTCACTCAAATTAGGATAACCTGAGGAAGTTTATTAAAGAACTATTTACTGGGGTGTGTAAGTTATGGAGGAAGAACAAGAGACGGTATGGGAACTGGGGCTAAGAGCAGCGGTGTTGTCACCACCCCCAGGCCCGGTGTTGGGGGGACATATGGAAACCACAAGAAGCACAGCACCTTGAAAGGACCAGTGGCTGAAGGACCCCACCGACCCACGTGGACCTTCCTCCCCTATCTTCCTCCGATCTCCGGCTGGGACTTCCCAGTGGCTGACCCCAGCCGGCAACCAGAGGGCAGGGCAGCCCGTACGTGGTCTATGCTGGTTGATCCCCCAGATGGTGAGTGTGGTAGGACAGGGCAGAGAAGGCACAGGGCGGGCCTAGGTGGACAAAGAGAAAAGACCCACCACAGGAGGCAGGTGGACGGATCACCGAGAGCAGCCAAACCGAGGCCCTGTCTCCCTGGCCGGGACCTCACGCAAGGCACCCACCCTTTCTGAGTCTTACTTCTTCCTCTTTGAAATGTGAAGCATTCAGGGCTTTTATGACTATTCAGTTCATTCTATTAACAAAAGCAAGAGACATTAACAGTCTCCTAGCCCATCTCTCCACTCCATCCTGCACAGACAGACGGATCCCTGCCTGTCTTCCTTCTACACCTCTCCTAAAACCCCCACAATGGGAGCGTTCACATTAGTGCCCCTTTAGTCCTTAAAAATGGCAGTACCTTCCATGTACACAGCACTTGATTCAGAGCTCTTCGCCATTACCTGACGTATTTTAGTCCTGAGAAACACCAGGTGAGCTATGTAGACAAAGAATTGTCACACCTCTTGATGGAGAAAAGTACCAGACATACAGTGGGCCCCCAGATCAGTCCACAATCATTTGACTCACAAATGTTCCAGGTCACAACAGAACCTCCACAGGCATTCATTGAGAAATGAGTCCTGGAGAGAAAGCAGACAAGAAATTGGCTTCCCAATTCCCTTGTATTTTTATAGTTAACTGTAGACATCCACCTTCACTTCTTTGATTGCATTAGCTTCCACTATTCTACATATCAATGTCTGTTTGACTATTAAGAAGGTTCCAATCCCAATCCCAATACTGGAGGGAAGGGGCCAACCACTACTAAGCAATTCTTATTGTATCCTACAATTCATCCCAATTCTGACACTATCTACCCAGAGATACCACCAGATTCCACAAGTTTAGGGCTCAGTCCTACAAGACTGTCCCCACCACCATTTCAGATGCCAGTCGCAAGCCCAGGCTGTCACCTGTGCTTCTGACAGACCTATAGATTGGAAGGTCCAGTGGCTGCCTCCGTAGGCGCAATTAATGTGCTAGACAGACTCACAGAACTCAGAGAAACATTTTACTTAACTAGATTAACAGTTTATTATAAAATGATATAACTCAGGAACAGCCAGATGAAAGACATGCACAGGGCAAGCTCTGGGGAAAGGGCATGGCGCTTCCCTGTTTCCTGAATCTCCGTATGTTCACCGACCCAGAAGCTGTTCAGACCCCATCCTTAGGGTTTTTAGTGGAAGCTTCCTCACAGAGGCCTGGTTTAGTAACTCACTGACCCTGGAGGACTGAACTAAGTCTCAAGCCCCTAACCCTTCCCTCGGTCAGGGGGACAGGAGTGCCCCTCAAAGTTCCCTCCTTCTAATCACGTGGTTAGCCCCACTGGCAACCAGCCCCCAGCCTTAGGTGTGACCCAAGTCATCTCCATGATACAACAAATGACACCTTCACAGCTCTCATCGCTTAGGTAATTCCAAGGAGGAGCTCTGTGTCCGAAAGAGGGATACAGACCAAATACATATTTCTCACTAAAAATTGCAGGATCACAACTATCCACCCATACATTTATCTACACTTTGCCTCAGCTCGCAAAAATATTATAGTTAACAAAAATTTGCACAGTAAGATAGGAGAAAGTAAAAATAAAAATCATAAGGAAAATGTACATGCACTATATGACTAAGATAAAGATAAAAATTCAGGGTCCTTTGGTGCATATCAGTACATCCTATTAAAATGAAACTACTAGTTTGCCTCTGAGCTTCCTGGTAGCATAAGCAAAAAAGGAGATCACACTTCTTTATGTGATATTAATTGTCAATAACAAAAAAGCAAACCAATTCCTCAAGAGCGCACCAAGGACATGATCTTCAGACGTGAGTGAGTGCTGTCAGTTGTGTAGGGGGTGTTGGTTGATATATAGGTTATGGGAGCTGCAAAAATGTGACTTTTTTAAAAGTAGGCCTCAGTTTAAACTGAGGCAATAAGGGCAGAGAGGATCTCAGTGAAAGCGAGGCTCACAAAAGCTGAGGCTTGTAGGGCGTGTGGAGAGTTTGTATGGAAAGCTTCTTTTTTAAGACTTATTTTCTTTATACCTTCTCTTCCTACACTTCCATAATTGATGGTTTCCCATTACCACCCAGAGCTCTAAGGTACTATGCCTAGGAGGAAGCTGGAAAGGGGGAAATTAATATGAATACCCCCATTTTTAGGATCAGGCATCTTGCTGGAAAATGCTTGGATGATTTATGTGTTTATTACAAAATTCTCTATTTTTGATGCAAACACATTCTCAGATAATTTATTCATTCTCACAGAATGTCACAGAAAAAAACATAATGGTGGTTCAGTAATGGCATGATTTTATGGTGATATTTTTCATCAAGTTGAGCATTATAGATTTATGTTAATGTACATTTCATGTCATTTTTCTTGCAATCATATTCTGAAAACTGTCAGATTTCAAGAACTTACCTTCCCTGAAGCCTGACTTTTTTTCCATTCCCAAAAATGGGTAAAAGTTTACTTGAGGGCAAAGCATTTATATAATATAAATTGTTTGTGATAAACCATTAGCATTAACCACATATCCAGAAGAAATCATCTTCTTTTCAGACGAGGACAGCTGTAATATCAAGCATGATACGGCTTAGTTTCTTAATGCCGAGAATAAGGGAGGCAACAGTGAATTCCTCTTTGCCTTAGATGTGAACCAATCACAAACTCCGAACCATTTCCCTCTGAGGTGACAAGCATTCCACATGCAAGAATGACTTTATAATGAAATACAATAAGCTATCCAAGAAAAGAAAGAGAAATCATGCAGAGGTGACTGAACATGTGTATCCAGAAACATGAGCTTGGCTGAAAAGAAGCAAAATAGAATGCTACATAGTGCCGTCAAAACACCTTATACTAGCCTGCTTTTAGATGAATTTAGATGCCCCAGAAATTAGAATCAGAGATGCATTTAGAGTTAATCTGGTGTAACTCCTTCATTTTATGCAAGAAGGCCTATCAAGAAGGCTCGCTCAAGGTCACAGGGCAAGTAGACAGAGCCTAGACAAGAACCTCGTGTTCTTTCTACTGTGGCAGTGTTTCCAGAGTTTTATTGTGTTTGCCAGGATCTAAGACTCATTCAACAAATGCCCGTTCTTGTTCCCTAACTGATGTCCAGGTCGTCCACCTCTGTGAGGGTTAGTGCTGAAGATATGAATTGATGGATGACACTGCCCCCTAGTGGCAGAACTCAGCAACACAAGACATCTTGAAAATGATGGAATTCGGCATCCTATAGATCATATCCTTAACCAAAATAACAAGCCTTAGGCCACATAAATGATCAGAAATAAACTTCAGATTACTCTCCGACTATTTTAGATTTCACCTTCCCTCAGACACAACCCATGGCCTTGATACAATATTCAGCTCAAAGTTAATGTCACAAACTTTATAAAATCACACATTAATGAGACTACAGGATAGTATTTTGTCTCCCCACCACACAGAGAAAATAATAAGTCTCAGAGAAAAGGAAAGGCATCTGATAACTGCTCAATGTAACAAATGCTTTTTCCGATAAGAAACATAATGTAGCCATAAATAAAGGAGTTAAAAACAAAGGAGTCACTGCACTGTGTGACAACAGCCGGGGCAGAAGGTCACTTTGCTTAGAATCCCTTTGTGCCAGGGCGCTGAGTCACAAAAGACCTTAGGCCATGAGGAGCCCACATTCTGGCTGGGTCAATACTGAGTGTTGTGGGAACTCAAATAAGTGCATACTTAATTCTGCCCTGGGGGAAGAATTGTGTCTCCCAGGAAGGCTTCTCAGAGCAAGGACCTTAGACTGAGGCGTAAGACAATGGCCTTGGGGGAAGTTAAACATTACTTTTTTAATACTCAGAAGCAGCTAAAATGCAGTGGCATGAATGTTGAACTTGGGGACAAGGAGACTTGGCTTCAAA